GAACGAGAGGGACAGTGAAACGATAAAACTTATTAAGATCTACAAAGGATAGGACATTGTGGAGAGCCATGATCGCTTACGTCCTGAAGGAACACGGTATACAGAAGAAGAAGAAGAAGAAGAAGAAGAACGAGCAATTTTCTCACGGATAAAAAAGAGTCTCGACAGTGATGTGGTTTTAGAGAGAGAGAGATGCTGGGATACATGTTTGAACATGTGTGCAACGAGGAATCTTTTAAAGAAAAGTGATATACTTGTAAAAAAGAGCGGTCCAAATATTTGGGACGCGTTAATAGGAAAGAAGGTTCATAAATTTAACACTCACAGCGCATATTGACTGCGAGGGGCGCAGAGGGAAATAGCAAATAACACATCTAATGGGTGTGAGTGAATGGATAGCTGATCAAGGACAAAAAGTTAAAGATTGCTTGAAGGACAGGAAGTCGGGGAGAGCTATAATCATTCAATTACTGAATGGAGATGGCACAAAAAGGAATAAGAATTCCGAAATAATTTTTGATTAGTCTTCCAATTTTATTTTTATTTTCTATATACATTAAGTCAACAAAATGGTCTGGAAAATCAATTGGTTTCCGGCGAGATTTGAACACATATCCTGAAGAGAATAGTTAGACGGGGATTGTGCCTTACTGATTGGGTTACTTTCGTAACCCAACTGACGTCAATCATGTATAATCTTATTATTTTCAGAAATATCTATATGACTTTTTCCCTGTTCCGGACTTCAGCCTTGTCTGGTAGAAAGCCGCATTTATAAAGATTTCATGGAAAAACCAAATCAATAGTATTGGATTTAATGATGTGTACTATATCATCTCATTGAAATGGATAGATTCCGCCAGGTCTGCTTTTCCCAGAACACGCTACCAATGAATACCTACCGAGATATGTGGGAGAACTGGTCAGGTGTTCAGCTGCGCAGCGACTACACTCAGCCATGGGTCTGATGATGATGACAACTGTTAGACATTTTCATGACGGTCGTCCTCGAGTATAGAATCCAGAGGTTGGCAGTGAATATTTCGGAGACAGTAGGAAAGCGTAGTTCAGGTTCGCAGTGGATATCACAGCAGAGTGTAGTTCTTCCTTCTGTCGTGTTCGCCTGACAAGTTGGCTCTGGTCCTTCCACCTTTATATACTACGGATACAATGTTCTGCGGCTCCTGATTGGTTAATCTTCTATTGGTAGACTATAAAGGGAAATAAGTCATTTTGACTCGCTCACTAGTTATATATAGTATATACCCAAAAAACTGTAACAACAACGACGATGACGATGATGCTGCTGCTGTTGCGAATGATGATGATGATAATGATGATGATTTTTTAAGCTTTTCAACCCAAGCAAGGCGGGACTGCCACTAGCTAGCAAGGGGTTACAGAGTGTGGGAGCAAGAGTAAAGAGGCGTGATAGAGGAAAGGATGAAGAAAAGGACGGAAAATAGCTCAAGGCATCTGGAGATGCCGATTGACATTGCATTTGAATAGTTGGAGATTATAGCTGTCAGGGAAGCAAGTAAGATGAAGGGAGTTCCACAGACGGGAAGTGCGAGACATGAAGCTATTGGAGTAGAAAAGACGGCTACATTTAACAGTTTCGACAGTGAAAGGATGGGACTTAGATGCCGACCTAGCGGCACGTTTAACTTCATGCAGTTTGGGAACTAGCGAAAATAGCTCGTCTGAGCAGTTACCGTGAAAATATTTGTAGAAAAGTTAGAGGGAGGCGACGGCACGTCTGTGGGAGAGCGACTGTAAACAAGATGCCAGATCAGGGACAATCACATTACATATCCGTCTCTGGATTGTGTCAAGGACCTTAAGACAAACAGCGGGGGTTCCAGACCATATATGACAACAATATTCCATGCAAGGGCGAATGGTTGATTTATAGATTTGAAGGATGGACTCGGACGAGAAAAACTTTCTGGCGCGACACAAAGAACCAACTTTGTCATTGTAAAATTTGTTACGTTGCTTTATAGGATTTTTAAAGCGGATTTTATTCGAGCATTAATCTCTATACTAAAAGATACAAATGTCAGAAAATTGTGGGGAGCCATGGTCCCAACGTCTTGGAGAGACACAGTACATAGAAGAAGAATCTCTATATACCATGATTATACAAATACGGGAGAATCGGAAATGTATCATCGATGGAAAGCAAACTTGTAAAGACAAGATTTGTTGGTGCAGATATGTCACCAACCCATTTCTTCTTGTTCTGTGTTTTTCTTTACTAATGATTTCACCGAATCCAAGGCCAGTGAGCCCATCAAAGTAGAGGGTTGCTGAATGCACATAAGAGCAGAAAGTAACTGCAGATTATGAGGATATGTTGTATAGATAAAGGTTGACCCAAGACATGAGAATGAATATCCTCAGCTGTCTGTTCCACAATTTCACCGATTGAAACTTCCTTCTTACCAAGAGAATACGAAAGGAATGCCAATGATTCAACTCTGTACACGTGGCATAGAGTGTCTGAGCTGTAAAGGTCAGAATTGATGAAATTCATCTGAACATTTGTCATGGAAATAGCATTAGAATAAAGACAGGCTTGCAGTTTTTTTGTGGGAAAGAGACTGTAGGGTTGTTTTTCTTCTTCTTTTTTTTTAATTTTAAATCAATTTACTCCGAGCAAGGCGATAATGCCACTAAGCCGCAAGGGGCTACTGGGGCTGAAAGAGAAAGAAGAATTTTGAAGAATCCGGAAACCCAATCTTAACAGCAAACAAGGAATAAAACTCTAATCCTGTTCAAAATACCGGTGAGGCGTGCGAACCGGATGATAGGCGATTTCATTGTCCACGAGGCTGCGTAGATACTTTTGAACTCTATCAATGGTGAAAAGGGATGATTGGCCAGATCTGGCTCAGATATAGCAACAATACTCATTTGTGGTCTACTCTAACTTTTGCAAAGATAGAGTATGGCTGGAGGCGTCAGGTGCTATCTGGAACAGCAACACCAGGAAATCGGCAGGTAATTTTACGGTGGAGGTATTGTACGGATATTGCAAATACTAGATTAACTCCGGAAATTGACACTTTCTTAAAAAAAAAAAAATTGATCGCTTGTAGAGAGCCTTACTAATCTGTTACTTGAAATGAAACCTAAATGGTTTAAACCGTCAGGTGTGACCTCTATCCTTAAGCCAAAGATCTAAATGGCGTGTGTATGAGTAGATGTTAATCGTTACTGCTAAACATACGGAAAAATAAACAAAATAGTCCTGCATCTTTCAAAAGGACAGAGAGAGAGAGAGAGAGAGAGAGAGAGAGAGAATGCTAGAAAGAAAAAAAGTATGCTTTGCTTCCCGCTCAAAATGATTTGCGCAGAAACGGCATTTTCTCATTCCGTTTGCTTTATCGGAAAAACAATTTCCAGGAATTTGAATCTCTGATATTCGCCTCTTATATAATCGCAGTTGTCGACTTTGACATGCAAAGGTGCAAAGTCAAAAAAATTAAGGCCTGCAACCCATTCATTTTCAAACACATCATTTATGGGGCTTTCTTTATATATGTATACGTTTTATGCGAGTGCGTGTGTGTGTGTTTGCGCGTGTACGTGTAGGCGTGTGTGCGTGTGCGTATGTGTTTAATTTACATTTGTCACATTTTCTTTTTTTCTTATCGTTTTTCTATGTGCCTAAATGAGTTCTTTTGCCGCTAACGTTCAATTTTACCACTTTTTTTTTCGATTACTTTTCCCTTTTCATTCATAATCTCCTCTTCTACGTATTTATGCTTTAAAATCAAATAGCGATGATGATGGTGATTATGATGATGATGAGGAGGGGGGGAAGAGGAGGAGGAGGATTGAAAAGTGGAAAAAAATGCGTAATGATGATGAAGATAATGATGATGATTTCATTCATAATTTCCTCTTCTACGTATTTATGCTTTAAAATCAAATAGCGATAACGATGGTGATTATGATGATGATGATGATGATAAGGAAGAGGAGGAGGAGGATTGAAAATGGAAAAGAATGAGTAATGATGATAAAGATAATGATGATGATGATGATGATGATGATGATGATTGAAAAGTGCAAATGATTGAGTGATGATGATGATTGAGAAGTGGAAAAGAATGGATGATGATGATGATTAGAAGGGGCAGAAATATAATGATCATGACGATGAACACGGTGCTTCGAAATGAGAAGAAGAAGAAGAAGAAGAAGAAGAGACTAGAAAAAAAAAACAAAAAAAAAACAGAAAAATGTGATAGGGAGAAAATATAATAGCGCTGGGGCGATGAGCGGGAAGGAAGAACACGATTTTGGCTGAAGCAGCCAAGACTGGGCCGAGCACGATGCAGAGAGGCCAGCAAAAATGCTAAACAAACAGCAAATCGTATTCAATTAGAAAATGGCGAGTAGGCACATGCACCACCGCATGC